GCCCTAAGGGAATATGACTGTTTAGACAGCCAGAGTCGAGTCCTAAAGACAAAGAATGCTGCAGAAACGTACTCTTCCAGTACAGCAAACCTTGGTAATTAGCTGATCCTTTGAGTCAGATGTGTTAAATGAGGTAGAATGGTGAACTACAAAGTGTTGTGGCTCTTTAGGACTGTATTTTAGACCAGGGTTTCTCAATTCAAGTCCTGGGAAAGCACTACCGTGAATGATTCCAGCTTCCATCTAATGCTATGTTCAACATCACTTGGAAGTGAGAAGTTTGAACTCAATTATGTAATACTGAGGGGGCGATTTCTTTGGTTTTTCCTAACTTGTAGTTCAGAAATTCCAAGTTACGAGCTTTAGTCGATTGCAGCATAAGCCAAAAACAATGGGGGTTGGATGCCTACCATCCATAAAATTCAAGTGCTCTCAGCCAAATGAGACATGAGCCCAGACTGAAATTGTCCAGTAGGATCAACCTATCAGTAGCCTAAAATTTCTATGTCCCTGCTCCTAACATCTGATCCCAATGTGGGAGTCACAGTATACTTATCTGTTGAGTCCTGCTCCTGCAGAAACTCCAACCACTACCGCCAACTCTCAAAATTATTTACATTTGCACCTGTCCTTAAGGTTTTCTAATTAACTCATTTGGTTTAATTACCCAAAAAAGGTTAAGAAATTAAAAGTTCATCCATGAATTTGCAATGCCTTCTTTGCGACCTCTCCTTGTATTGCAATATTTCTTTTTTTTCCACTCACACTTGCATGAGTGTTAAAACTAGTCAGGCCCCCAAATTCCTACTGGGTTGTTCCACTGATCCCAGTGGTCTAGTCCTCATGCACACCTCTATTTCTGAGCAGGGAGAACAGGGTGCTAGATTTGGAAGTCCTTCATTTAAACCATGTAGCAACTGCAACAGACAGCATTAGCATGATAAGATCTCCTGTGATTTTCCTATTTGAACCCATTGTGGTATTTGTGACAGCAGGGGCAGGGCTAGTCAAAGTAAATTTAAAGTAACAAAGATGTGTGATCAGATGGCAGAATTGTTGGTGAACATTTCTGCTCTTACCATTAAAAATCATCTGAAAACAGTTTTCCTTATAGGTCCTATAATTTTCAAAAATAAATAAATAAATAAATAAATAACGGTTTAAGGAACCTATTCACAAAACATATCAACATATGAGGACATGGGATCGCTTTTTCTGAGTCTCACCCCATCACAGATCAGCATTACTGCTCCAAGATCTTTTACTTTTCTATACCCACAGAGCCCTCATGAACATGAGCTCAAATAGATAGAATTAAACCTCATCGTCCATTTGGTTACCACCTGTGAAAAGTTGTTGCCAATTCCAACCATTATTCCAGGTCAAGCTAAGAGCTTGGCACACAGAAATAAACTATACCTAAGGCTATTTCTCTTTCTACCTCTATGTTTCTCTTTCCATCTTAACTGTCAGAGGCAAAAAATGACATGCCTGAATTAATGCAAGCTCAGACAGGACCTTCGTTCAAAAAGTGGATTGTTTCCTCACACTTGAGTGGACTATTTACTGATCCAGAGTCAGATCTTCTTACCTACACAGTACTATTGAAAACATATGAGGAACAGCAAGCCTGTTCTTTTGTTACCACTATTGCACAACATGTAGGTACTCAAAACACTTTTACCAGCATGTGAGATCTTGTATAAAAATGTAGAGTAAGGATAGACACAAATCAAACACACAGAGAAAATTTTCCAACAAAAGAAGACAAGCAGACCTTTGGAAAGTGTTGTCAGAGAGTTTTGGTTAATGCTAGTAAACTAGGTCAAATAAATTGTTTAGGTATTCCACAAAATATCTGCTTAACACAGATTGCAGTATATATACATTCACCTATGTTTATTGCCAAGTAATGTTTTTACAAGCATAAGTTTAAGTTAGCCATACCTTGATAGGAGCAGTGGAGAATCTGATCTTCCTCCTTGAGTTGAGGTCTTCTTCATCAGAGAGGCCTGGAAGCTCCTCATATTCCTGGAACTGGTCATGGTCTGGTCCAGTGTGCTGTCCCTTTTGCTGATAGTCCAACTTACTTTCCCGGTCATCCACAAAAGCAGCATTCTCAATCCCACATATCAAAGGTCTCTTCCCTGCAGAGTCCTCATTCACTTGCTGTTGCCTCTCTTCCACCGTCACTTCTTCAACATCATGTTCATCATCTTCTTCCTCTAAAGCCTCTTTCACCACATCACTGTCATCTTCCACATTCTCCTCGGTTTCCCTCTGCTTGTTCGGCATGCCACTTTCCTCCTCTTCCTTCACTTTCTGTTCAGCTTTCATCTCACTGTGTGGACATAGTTCCTCTTGCACTTGCTCTCCCTTGTCTTGTACATCCTTCACCTTCTCGTCTTCCTCTTCCTCCTTCTGCTCCTCTTTGTGCATAACTTTATCCTCAGCCAATTTTTCCTGCCTTTCCTGATCCTTATCTCGTACAACCATTGTCACGTCCATCCCCACCTTCTTTTTCTCCTCCCCTATCATACAGTCCCTCCCTGATCTATCTTCATGATATATGATTTGGACCTCCTTGCTGTCTATGAGCTCTTTTTTTGAATGAAGATTTGTGGGAGGTTGCTCTTTCTTGACTTCCTCAAAAACGTCATCCCCAATGCGGTCTTCCTCATTGCTCTCACCCTCTGATGATTCATTATGGACCACCACTAACTCGGCTCGGACCGTAGACAGACCTGGGGTGCCAAACTCCCCCTTGTGTTGCTTCCCTTCAGAGACATTCCGTTCCAAACACTCATTTCCATCTCCTGAAGGACTGACAGAACCACTGCTCAGGGACAAACGATGACGCTTCTCGCTTTTAAAAATAGTTGGTTCTGTTGAGACAACGGAAACTGAAGTTTCATTAGCATTGTCCACTGTGGTGTTTGTGCTACGGCTACTCCAGTGAGGGCTTTCTTCTGCGCAGACTCCATTCACTGGGGTAGGTGAATACTGGGACTCACTTTGTGAAGTTAAGTTTGCATCTGCCTGGCCAGAAGGGCTTTCAGGCCACAGAGAATATGATGTGGGAGAACTGTCACTATCTGGCGACAAAGGTGGATCTGAATGCTCACTGTTTGGGGACGATGGTGGTTGGGAATGACTACTTGGACTTTGTGAACGAGTTGAGACAGATGGGCCAGACAAGGACTCACTGTCACTGTCTAACATGAAGCTCTCCAGTCTCCTGGATATAGGTCCTGCATTCTTCATCATCACCGCAGGCTTATGTGGTTGTGTCTCACGCTCAGTTCTTCCTCTGTCCTTGTCTTCCTTTGGTTGTTCTCCTATTATCTGAATTTGGTCTGTCTTTTCTGTCAGCTTCTTCACACACCTGCCTTCCTCTGAAATGCTACTCACAGAAGATCGGCTGACAGGTCTACCAGGCGCACTTCTGTCTGTTGGTAGTCCACTCTCAAAGAGCTTTCTGGTTTCTGAGAACTTCTCAGCCAGGGCTACTTTGTCAAATGAGATGTCCTCTGATTTTCGTACCACTTCCAAGGTGCCTGATTCCATGCTGGAGGCACTTCCCATGCTAGACCTGTATGAGGAGGAGCTTCGTTGCAATTTAGCCGTTCCAGGTTTGGTTTGGTTTGTGCTGTCCTGTGGCTGTTGGGCATCCTTTTGAAGAAAGATGTTTTTGATTTCATTCACCCGGCTCCCTGATGGTCTGCCTCGCGCCTCGCTACCTCCATAGGAGTAAAGGACGGATGGGCCCTCGAAGGAGCATTTGATGGAGTGGAAGTCTGATTTGTATGCATTTCTGTGAGGGGAGGCACTCCTTAGCACTCGGTCACTTTTGGGTTCACTTTTGATCATTTTCAAACCGTTTATCAAATCGTACAAATAGGCCAAGGATAAAAACTGATAAAAGATGTGAGCTAAAAATCAGCCTGTATTTTTCATGTGCTTTTTAATGGCATGTTCTACACAGCCTTAAACAGGACTGGTCTGTTTTCTAGTTGCAGGGGGTTCTTGAAGAATACCACATTGCACTGAGGTGCTGTTACCTAAAGAAAAGAAACATCAATTTTTAGACATATCATGACATATCAGTTAAGATTAAATGATTTCAGTTGAATGTATTATGCGACCTGATTAATATTTTCTCATTTGAGTATTTACTTAATTTTAGAGCTAATAAATGGTTAATGACTTTGTAAATATTTACTGTTATTTTTACTTAGGCATGGTTTGATGATCAGTCAAAACAAGTACAAACATCAAAACTTATTCAAAGTAACATTCTGTCATATTACTCCTCAAAAACCTCCCGCTTTAGTGTATCTCACTGAAGTGTCTAAACAACTAAAATACGGACTGTGTCTGAATTAAAACTAGTGACTCCGGTGTTAACCGGGACGCCGCTTCCTTTTAATTCTGACAAATCACTACAAATCGATACCGACAGCGCACTTTATATCTTAGCCAATGACAGTAAAACTCGATAAAAACTCACCATAACGCCATGCATATCAGCAGAGGAGGAACTGACAAAATTATCCACATTCAGGAACGACCAGACCAAACTTATCACACCCTTCAGCGCCTCGCTGCCTGCAGGATTCGCTCTGTGATCGGCTCGGGAGCAAACCTTATCCTCGAGTGCGCGCTCCCGAGCGAGAGGGTTTATCGGGAGCGCGCGAGCGCGTTCGCGTAGGAAGACGGAGGCGCGCGGGGTGGGGGTGTAGCCGTGGGAAAAATGCCTAATTTGCCTACTAGCTCCACCGACATAACTGGTACACAATTAGTAGTATTAAGATTTTCTGAAAGCAACAGGTGACAGAAAGAATTTAATTCTGCTGAAAATAGCCGAAATGGAAAGTATTTTGGTGTTTGGAAAAGCCAGATGTTAAACCTTAACGTTTAATGTGCTTGATTGTGCCTTGATTGTTTTTGACTGTATAAAGATTCAATCTAGCACTCTAAAGGGAAATTAAATTTGTTTTGGCATGGTGGCATAGTGGTTAGCACTGGTGAATTGCACTTCCAGGGTTGGGGGTTCAAATCCCGCCTCTACCCTGTGTGTGTGTTGAGTGTGAATGTTCTCCTTGTGCTTCAGGGGTTTCCTCCCCCAGTCCAAAGACATGCGCTGTAGGCTGATTGACATTTCCAAAATTGTCTGTAGAGTGTGAATGTGCGCGATTGTGCCATGCGATGGGATGGCACCCCATCCAGGGTGTCCCCTGCCTTGTGCCCCGAGTCCCCTGGGATAGGCTCCAGGCGACCCTGCGTAGGATAAGTGGTACAGAGAATGGATAGATGGATGAATGGATTCATTATCTTCATTAAGTGCTTTATCCTGGTCGTAGTGGATGTGGAGCCTATCCCGGGAACACTGGGCATGTGATGGGGATACACCCTGGATGGGTCACCAGTCCATCACAGGACACCATGCAGAGCAATTTAGCGTGGCCAATCCACCTACTCGCATGTTTTGGGGAGGTGGAAGGAAACCGGAGAACCCAGAGGAAACCCACACGGACACAGAGAACATACACAGAAACTCCACATAGACAGTAAGCCGAGCTCAGGGACCCTGAAGAACTCTACAAGGAAAAGTTTCAGAAAATGTAGAACTTCTTTATGGAGGTAGAACCCTTAACCACACAAATCAATCTTTTCTAATAATCTCCATATTGTAAATTAAACAATTTGATACCTTAACATCATGTAGTGTTTGTTATCTATATGGAGTTTAGACATTTAGCAGGAAAAAAAGCTCCCTCAGAGGTTCCTTCTATGGCTAACTGTTCTAGCTTTCTAAAGAGGTCATACTTGGGAGCTTTTGTAAAAGCCTGTTCTGTAGATTTTGACATAGATCCACTAGAAGTGCTAAATTTAGCCTTTTAATAAGTGTATTCTTCAAAGTTCCTTTATTTCTGTGAAGCAAAGCAGTAAAACAGGCTGACTTTAATGACTGTACAGTGTCAGAGGAGTCTGTGCCATTATGTGTGGTTATTTATGAAATGTTTAGTTCCCAAAAGGGCCTCATGAGATTGGGACTGTCAAGTGAAATAAGTACAATCTTCTCTTGAGCCACTCTTCCAAAGCAGAACTGACATGGAGGAGCTTTTGTCTTTCTGATACACTTTTGGGTCATGGCTGACGAGAGGATTAATAAGTTGTGTGGATGTTGGAAGTGCACTTTAGCTGCTGTCTGACATTTCCTTTTTTAGATTTTCAGTGGAGCTATGAGGCTAATGTAGCTAAAAATTAATGGAGTCAGCTTTACCCAAAAGGTTACTATAATTATCAGCATCAAACCGTGTCCTGCTCTTCACTCTCTGATAAGATTTCGGACACAGTGGGACTTACAGTCATTTAGAAGAAATGAACCATATAGCCAAACACTGTACAGTTCTAGGGGCAGCCATCTAAGGAAACTGGAAAACTTTTTTCCCCTCGGCATAATTAGTTATCATTTTGCCTCACAGACCACGCCCCCAAAACAGAATTGTTCCACCTTGAGCTTAAATTTGACAAAACTTTCTATTTAAAAGCATTATGTACACTATGTGACCAAAAGTATGTGGACATCTGACCATCACATACATATGTGCCCATTCCAGATCCATGGGCATTAACACAGAATTGGCCCCCCTTTGCTTTTCTAATAATCTCCACTCTTCTGGGAAGGCTTTCCACTAGATTTTGGAGCGTGGCTGTGGGGATTTGTGCTCATTCAGACACAAGATCTTTAGGGAGGTCAGGCACTGATGTCAAGTGAGGATGCCTGGTGTGCAATCGGTGTTCCAATTCATCCCAAAGGTGTTCAGTGGGGTTGAGGTCAGGGCTTCATGCCAACCTTGGAAACCATGTTTTTATGGACCTGGCTTTGTGCACAGGGGCATTATCACGCTGGAACAGGTTTGAGCCTCTTAGTGCCAGTGAAGGGAAATTACAATGCTATAGCATACAAAGACATTCTATACAATTGTGTCCTTCCAACATTGTAGCAACAGTTGGGGGAAGAACCACATATGTGTGTGAGATGGTCAGGTGTCCACATACTTTTGGCCATATAGTCTAGGTTAATAATGTAATCTGAAGAAAGTAATCAAAGATATGCACCTATATTTATGGAAAATATTTGGGGTGAGATATACTTCTTCATAACTCTAGGTCAAAACTACAAGCACAAACATTGGACAGTAATTTTGTCACAAAAAGACAATAACTTAGTGATAGATCCTGAAGTGTCTTTTAGCCTTTCCATGGCTCATGGCTTGCAGTGAACCTTAAGTATGTGTGATGGAGAGTGTGAGAGAATGAATCCTCTAACAGATGGCATTTTACAGCCACTACATATTGAAAGTAGATTATCTCTACTGATCCCCTGTCAATCAGCACTCCTCAGAAACAGACCTGTACTACCACAGCTTTGGGTTTAAACATATAAAACACACAGCGCCTGAGTGAGCAATACTGTGTGGTGATGTATTTAAGAGGTGAATGGTTGACCCCTTGAAAAGAGTTTACTGACTCTTCATATGCATAGATGAAAATGCCATAAGTAATCTTCTCCACACACAGACTTTATACCCTATCTTCCCTCAGCCCAAAATTTAATCTCACACTTCACAAAACTGATCTCAGATCAGAATAGAAAGGGCATCACAATTTTCAGATTTTTACCAATCAGGGATTTTGTAAAGTATAGCTGCACTATAACCATGACACCCATGTTTTTTTGGATGCATGCCCTAAAAAAACCAGTTATTTTGGTTGCATAAGCTCAAGACACATTCCATGTTAAAAATAGAACCATGCCAGAAATTCAAAGTACATTAGAGAAGCCAAAATAAGCAAATGCGCCACTTACCGTGTCTTTTTTAGAGGAATCCTACTTTATGCCTGTCAAGCTGCACTGATATCCAAGTTGACTGGATTTGCTTCCACTAATGTAATATTTTTTTTCTTTTCTTTTTTTTTTTTATAGAATAATTCCTTGCTTCTAGTTATTCACTGGTGGGGAGCTATGGGTTGGTAATATATTACTGACATCCTTTGTACTTGGCCTGGGTTTGTTTCATGGCCTGAATTTGGTGCTGTTTTCCCCAGGTGGCCTCCGGACCTAGATTTATAAAAATACCACCCAATCAAAGTGGCAGTGAAGGAAAGAGAGGGAAAGAAAGAGGGAGTGCATTTGTGAGAAGGATAAATTTGGAAGATTCGGCTTCTTGATGCTGATATGTGTTCTTCACAAATCACTCATTTACATTAAAGCATGAGAAAGTAATAATGTCCAGGGGAGTGGTTATATACAGTATATACTGCTGTTTCTACACACACAATCCTAAAGTTCTGGGTTTGGCTGGAAGACGTCTGAAATAAACACTCACCCTCATAAATCTCAACCTATCGTAAATGCCAGTTACTATGCAGCAGTCTTTGATAAGGGTGTTAAGCCAACAAGGATCTCGTTTCTGAAGGATCTGAAGGGCAGTTTTTTCAATGACATGAGGAAATGAGGTAACCCGTGAAACAAGAAAGTGGGAAAGGTTGATGAGCCTTGAGTATTAAAACAAAGACCTATCAAAGATATTAAAAATAATTTTTTTTACTGTGAAATATGTGTAAACTTAATATATGTGATATGTGGTGTGAAACACCTTTAAAGTGACAAATCGCATAGGTATTGGACTTTACAATCAAGCCCAGCTTTTAGACAAAATATTGATAATATTATGGACCACCACTGTTAAAGCTATTGGCTCCTATTAATATTTCTTCATTCTGGGCTTAGAATGATGCAGTAATACATATATGTTTTTGAATATACTGTTAACAATCATTGCCAAGTTACACTGACTTGTCCTGTAACTAGAAATACATCTAACTTAATTTGCATGAAAATTTAACAGTTCTCATCATTCACTTAAATTGGGACAGAATTCTCATCAGATCAGGTGAGTAATTCCAGGGTTCAGGTGCCATTTGTAAAAAGTAAAAGACATTTTAAATATGGATAAAGCTTCCTTCACATCAAGCTATGTACATGTTTCAGATAAATAACTTCAACCATTAATAAAACCTACAAAATCTACAACACTTAGAAAGCACAATTTTTCCTATCGCAGCTGACTATAACTAAACTTTATGTTGAAATATATTCATACATAATCATAAGTACTTCGAAAATTATATTATTTGTGCATTAAAGTGTGAATCCATTTAGCATATTTTGCTTGAAACATTCTTGCCCATCAATTCTCCCTTATAGGTTAAGAAAAATGTTCATTTTTATCCTACAACACTGTTACCTGTGAAGTATTTGGAATTTTCCATAAGTCATATGTTCCACAGGAAGTGATATCATCCGCATGTCTTAAAGGTCATGGGGAGAAGAAACGTGTATATATATATATATATATATATATATATAAACCCCCAAGCTACAGCTGAGAACCACACCCTTCTCCACACATAGAACCACACCCTTCTCCACACACAGACACACACATATGTGTGTGTGTGTGTATATGTATATATATATATATATATATATATATATATATATATATATATATATATATATATACAGCTTAGAGCCACACTCTTCTCCACACATAGAACCATTTAGAATAAACTTAATATTAGCAAATAAACACATCACTACCAGACTCTTGACAGATGGAAATGTTGAGACAACAGCTAGCACTGTACAAAATATTATGTAAAAATAGATTGCATACAATTTTAAAATGCAATATGGCAGTATGCGGTTTGGGACATAGTCCAAAACTTTCTAAGAGCAGTCTGATAAGTTTTCTTGGCACCATGTTCTCGGACAGATGGTGATCTATTTTATCTCCCAATATTCACCCATTTCCCACACACTCAGGGCCACGAGTGCTGCAGATTTAATCACTGAGGCCTTCTTTAGCATAACACGAAGCATGGATAACAAAGATACTCCCACGACATGACTAATTTAAGCCATCATCTGAAACATTTTCATAAAACATGGTCCTGTAAAATACTGTATGCAGTGGCAAAGGCAGTTTGTAAATACACAT